CAGGAATGCAGAGGGAGAGTTGGAAGAGAAAGCCACGATTGGGAGAGTGCAAAGGCTAGAAATGCAAAGCTTAGTTTACATAATAATTTGCTAATGCCTTGCACTATACAGCACAAAATACAGTACTGATGTTAGATATATTTTTATCTCAGGTGCAATAATTCTCATCTTTTGCTGTTCCAAGAGCATTGGTCAGATGTGTGGAACACACTTGAGGGCAACAGACTCCAGTGCTGAAGCCTCGCTTCGCTGTTTAGATGAGAGATCCTTCTCCTTGCAGTATGCCTTGTAAAATCTTTATGACGTACTTACATACACAGATTGAGACAAAGCTAGTTTTGTTGAGATTATTACCACATTGCTCTCATGAATATCTTGAACAATGGTTTACTATATGGTTCAACATTTAATTAGAACAGAATGTGACTTAAGTCATTAAATCGTGTTTAAAAAGAAAGTATGTTTTTAAGGATGCTTTTAGAAACAAAATCAGGCACTGGAAAGATGCAATAGAATATAATTTAGGGATTGTTAAGCTTCACATTTCTTTAGCATTGTTCATCTCACTACATCAGGACACTACATGATTTCAGATCTTCCACATTTCGTAGCACACAACAAAAAAACGTTCCAAAGATTTGGCAAAATCACATCATCTATCAGTGAGAGATGCAATGTTGTTTTAATAACATGTTCCCCCAAAATGGGTTACTTGGGACAACTGGAAGAGAGGATTTTCCTTTACACTGTAGTAGGGAAACAAGGTTGCCAGAATCTGTAGCAAGCCAGGATGTTTAAAATTAACCCAAGGTAAGCTTCTTTGATAAACCTGCAGGCCCAATCACCACGCAGGACATCAGTTCTACTAAAATACAAAAAGGAAAGAGAAAGAGAAGGATAGATTTTTCCCCTTCTTACTCCATGAAACGAATAATTAGACCACATTAGAGCAATGAGACCAGCTAGGCACACAGAGATATTTTAGCAAAGCCCGACCCACAAAAATGGCACCAAGAAAACAGCTGCAACTCCAGTCTGTGTCTCTCCCCGCAAAACCTCTAGATCTGACATTTACGATTGTCAATTTTCTTCTGAATTAACAGGATAATCAAGCAAGATTTTCACCTACCCCTATTCCACAATTTGTTAGCATTTCTCCATAATAAATTTATCTAGCCAAAGAGAAAAATTATAAGCCAGCTTAGTCATTTGTTTGAGGGTTTTTTTTTAATATTATAGAAAAGCACATTAGGATCAGAACTCTCTCTAGATAAAACACATCCTACAAAAGTATTAAGTTTTGCTCCACTCCCTTTCCAAGTTTTACATCTAGATAAAGATCATGATTTCTTGATTTAAAAGATTAAGTTACAGAGGTTTGCCATTTTTGTGCAAAATGGCCACAAACATGGCAGCAACTCAAAGCTGAACCATAACATTTTCATGAGGGGAAAAGAAAAGGTTATCCCTCACCTACTACAAAATGAGCTTAGCCTTCTTGCCTCCTCCCACCCATTTAACAGAGCGTGAATTTCCATACTGAACATTTGTTTCCACATTTTTAGTTTTGATGAAAGTAAGCTACCTTTCATTTCTCATATTATTTTCTCTTCTTCTTTGGTACTAAAATAAATGGTAGAAAGAGTTATTACATAGCAACTCTTTTTTTTTTTTTTTAGGAGATACAGGAAATTTTACTAACTAAACTGGTATGACACATTGCGACATCCAGACAGACTGCTATTTAGTAATACTTTATTACATAAAGGAAATGACATTTGATCTTTCTTAACCAAGATCTGCATTACAGCTGGACCTTTCTGGTTTTCTACATGATTCTCACAGATTTTATCTACCCAAACAAATAGTTTTGCTGTGTGCACATATACATAAGCTGACTTTAAAGAACCACCTATCTGAATGAAGTACTAGTACTCAGTAGAAAAAGAAGTACTAACTAGAGCAAATCCTCCACGCCCAGCCTCACATCCTGAAGGCACGGTGTACAAGCTAGCCAGGCTGCAAGGGATTCCCCAAACCAGCTACGAGGCCCGAATATACTTGAACTCAATCACATTAAACCATTAGGCTGTCTCCGACACATACTAGCAAATACGTCAGGCAACAAGCAGAACAGGGGAGGCAGCAGCAGCACATCAACACAGTCAAACACAGCATCAAGAGGTACTTGCCAGCAGCGGAGGTACCATAAGGGTACTGCTGCTATAGGTACCTTTGACTGCCTTCTACATTCAATACATGGCATTATCCTTAACTCAGGTACTCTTACAGATTCAGTCAGCAAACTCCCATTCTCCTGTCAGCATAGAAGTGTCACAGTTATCTCTCAACAAAAGTGGTGTTAAACTACACAAATAAGGCAAAACACGGTATATTAAGGAAGTAGTACATCATATACAGTGTGGCACACTATAAAGTCACAATCTCTCTATTACTCCAAGGAAGAGGAAAAGAGAGACCAACATTGTCAAGTAACAGCTATCTGGTACAGGCAGAGAAAATGCAAATATCCCCAACGAAATTTTCACTGAATATACACCACAATCACATATACAAACTCAGCAGATGAATGAAGACTCAAGTCTGAAATAAGCAATGATTCACACGAGAGAATTAAGTAGAATTAAAAGGTTTCAAACCCTTAAGAAGAGAGGAGCCTGTTCATCTTGGGCAGTTGGAATACAACATATAAAACAATTTACTGAAGTCTTACTGCAGCAGATCTGCCCTGCTGCTGGGGAAGGTTCAGACAAGCTAGGATTCACAAGCGTGCACAAACACCGTGGCAACAGCTAAAAGCCTCCTTCTATACCTACGTGCCCAGCACAGGACGGGGAGTTTTTGTCCCTACCAATAGTGCTTAGTAAGGCACAACAAATTTGGGAACTTGTTTTTTT